GAAAAATGAGGGAAGGAAAATGACACTTGCATACACATAAGCGGAAAGAAAGAGCTGCCCCCGAAAGGGACAGGTTTGCTAAAAGTGAGGCCTGCATGGTTGCAGGCAAGCAGCCTTGGGAGGAAAGCTACCTCTGCTGAGGGAGGTCAAGGAAGAGAAGCACCCACATGGTCACAGGTCACAGGCAGGCAGGAAGGCCGCTGCCCAACGGAGGGAAAAGGTTGGTGAAAAGAAGCACCACCACAATCACAAGGACTGCTGCCCCTTGCCAGTGCAGAGATTGCACTGATATAGTCTTCTTTTCTTTGGGAGGGGCTCATTCATTTGTGGGATTGTTAACTGCTGTTAAATTAATTATTTCTAGGGTTGGCATCTAGGGATTGTTTCTCTATTTGCTTTGACTCAGTCAATTGGGAAGAACCAGTGATACTTTCACAATGGCCCTCAATCTCCATATCCCCACCTCCAGTCTGCCCCTTAGGATTCTTTACTTTTCTATATAGCTTTTTAACAGCTGTGTTAATTATTTTTACCCCATCTTCAACTTCTGGCCTTGTGATGCCTCCTTTCCAACTTTGTATTTTGTATTTTTATCCTCCATCAGATCCATGAGACCTCAGCTTAGAAGAGAAAAACCACCCAGTTGAACTCAAGCCAAATTGCAATCCCACAGACTTATGAACTGAAATAATGATTGTTATTTCAAGCCTCTAGGTTTTGGGAAGGTTTGTTATGCAGCAAAACCTAAATGAAGTGTTTCTTTTCATTTCTATATCCTGGGTAGTATATAGGAAGATGTAAGAGACCGTCTCCCTAACAGTATAACCATAAGTCATTAGGCAAACAAGAACAAAATCATACTTCTCCTTTAAGCTATCAAAGATGCAAAAAAATGTAGATGAACTTATCTTCAGTGGGAGGAGTCACTCCTAGACACATACAATAAAGTTAGCATACAATAAAAAATTAGAAGACTTGCAAAAATATAGAAAAATGTGAAGCAGTTGTCCCAGAGGCAACTCAGATATTTTAATTTTCACATAAAAATTTTAAAATAACATTATAGTACAAATTAAAACTCTATAGGAAATGAGTCATTCAATGAGTAAGACATGGGGATTTTCAGAAGGGATTTAGGATGTATGAAATAAAACCACATGGACATCTCGGAATTGAAAATAAAAGATCTGTAATAAAACCTTCATGTATATGAACCAGAGACACTCTATGGGGGTTGGGGGGCGGGGAAAGGAGGGATTGGGGTCAAAATAAGGGGGTTGTAATTGTATGGGAAATATAAAAATAAAATTTAAATAAAAAAATCAAGCTTAAGAAAAAACAAAACAAAACAAAAAACCTTCATGTAAATTGAAACAACATATAACTACCAAAAAAAAAAAAAAACCTAGAAATTTAACAAATTTCACAGAACTGCAATGACCTGTGAAGCAGTATCAAATGGTGAAATACACACTTTTAAGAGTGTTAGTCAGAATGGAGAGAATGACAGATAAATATGTGAAAAAATATAAGCTGACATTTTCAAGATAAGAGTAAAAATAGCAGCCCAATGCTACAAGTATAAGCATAGAGCCCTATGTAGGATAATTTTTTTTTTTTTAAAAAAGGCTTCTAAGACAAAACTGAAAGTTAAAGAGAAAATATTAAAATAAGACAGAAAAGTAAATGCACATTAGATACATAGGAATTGTGAAAGAGCAGAGATGACTTCTCAGAAACGAGAGGAAGACAAGACTGAAATAATTAAAAAAAATTCTATAGCCACAGTAATTGTATTTGAAAAATGAAGACAAAATAAAGACATTTTTTTTTTTTTTTTAATAGAGGCTTTATTTATTTATTTATTTGTTTGTTTGTTTTGTTTATACAAGCACTGGGTACAGTCAGAAGCGCGGGAGGGTGAGAGAATTCACCAGAGCCAGAGCGGGGAGCAGAGCAGGCAGAAGGGCCGAAGTACACTGCTGAGGGGAGCAGCGGGCGGCAGGAGAGGTCTGCGCGCCATGTGGGACCCTCCTCCAGTGGCCGGGGAGCAGCCGGGGATCGAACCGGCGCCACAGAGGCTGCGGGCAGCTTCGCAACCCAGTGCTCAACCGCTGCGCCACCGGGGAGGCCCCTAAAATAAAGACATTTTTTAAATGAAAGAAAGCTGGGTGAGGTTTTAGTCACCTGTCCTGCACTATATGAAATTCTAAAGAAAGTTCTATAAATTAAAGGGAAATGTAACAGGATGGAAACATAGGTTTACAATAAAGACTGAAGCACAAGAAAGGGTAAATATCTAGGCAAACCTAAAATCAAATTGTTAGAAATTATTTTTTATGCAAACTGAATATATAGTTAAGTTTTAAAACACTGTTGACTATTTGAAGCAAAAATGTATAGCCATATATTGTGAGGTCTAAAATACAGTTGGAAGAAAAAGATACATATAGCAGAAAGGACAGGAAAGAATGAATGGAATTGTGCTATTGTATGAGTACTCCATTGTTAATGAAGTACTACAATATTGTTTTAAACTAGTCTGTGATAAGTTAAACTTATATTGTATAAACTCTAGAGCTATTCTGTTCAGAATAGTGACTTCTGGCCACATATGGATACTGAGCATTTGAAATGTGGCTAGAGAAACTGAGAAACTGAATTTGTAATTTCCATTATACAATTTAAGAAGAAGACTGAAATGGTGTATGTATTCTCATATAAAACACCATTTTATGGTTCTTATAGAACTACCTTTCACTTTAACTGTTGGGATATGGTATAGGTATACACTTCACATCAGATTTTAAAGGAATGAAGAATATATGAACATAATTCTAGAAAGTGAAATATTTCATGAATGCTTTTATGTTTATTACATGTTGAAATGATAATATTTTGGATATAGCAGTTTAACTAAAATATGTTATTAAGTTAATTTTACCTGTTTCTTTTAATTTTGTTAATGTGACATCTAGAAAATTGAGATACTCTATAAATATTACAGATGTAGCTCACATTGTATTTGTTAGTGCTGCTATAGTGAAATTGCTAATATATAACACAAGGTGGCATAAATAAAAAGTCAAATAAAAGAGAGAAATTGGAATATAAAAGTTACCCAATTCATCCAAAATAATGGAGGAAAGTAGGAACAAAGAAACTGAATAAATGGAATAAATGCTAAATACCAAAATGTTCAACTTAAGCAATCTTATCAATTATTAAGTTAAATATAAATGAACAAGACACTTTATTTAAAAGTTGTCAGAATAGATAAAAGTAAAACCTAACTATTTGCCATTTGTGAGATAAATAGCTTAAATATAAATAATTTAAATATATTCAAAATTAAATATAAATATGAAAGTAAAAGAATGGAAGAAAATATACCAGGTTAATAGTAAGCTTAAGAAAGCACATGAGGCTATATAAATCTCATAGAAAATAGACATCAGGGCAAAAGGAGCATTATAAGAGATAAAGAAGAATATTTTATTTTTTTTTTTGTGGGACCCTTGCCGGTGCCTGGGGATAGAACTGGCACTAAAGAGGCCACGGGCAGCCTCGCAACCCAGTACTCAATCACTGCGCCACTAGGGAAGGCCCTAAAAAAATATTTTAAATTGTCATTGTGTCAGGAAGGCTCAGTAGTCCTATATGTATATGTACCTATTAAAGGAGCTTCAAAACATGTGATGTTAAAAAAAAGATATATACAGTGATAAGTGAAAAAATTGAGAATCATCTGGGGTTTTTATGACTATTCCCTCAGTAACTGATAGAAAAATAAATTCCCAAATGTGGTAGTAGAAGTGATGTGAAATAAGTGGGGTAGAATTTGCAAATTGAAATAGTCTCAGAAATCACTAGCCAGTATTCCAAGAACCTGTTGTATTAATGTTGTTATAGAGCAACCCCGATATTAAACGGGTTCCTGGCTGTGGGTCCTCACCCGCGCGCTTTAAAGGGACTTATGAATACTCTACTACAGACACACACAAAAGGGTTAATAAAAGGTTTATTTACAAGAGAAAAGGAAATAAGGAAAATGTACAACTCAGGGAGAAAATAGGGAAATAAAGTCTTTAATGCGTCCTACCCGATCCGACGACCTGGAAACCCAAAGTCACTCTCAGAGCTGGCCGCACGCTGCGAGCTGGTGGAGAGCCAAAATGGGGGACCCCCAAAGCCCACGTGTCTGCCTTTTGTATCCACCTGGCTGCTTAACCCCACCCTCAGGTCCCAGCCACCTTCCCTTTGGTGGTGATGGGATTTGGAGTTCCCAGTGTCTTTGGCTTTGACCTGGGGTGGGGGTGGAGTCCACAAAGCCTATATGGAATTTGCTTTGGGACATCCTTTTCCCCCTAACAATGTGACTTGAGATTTTTTAACTTTTGTGATAACTGTGTATTGTTTTTCAAGCTTTTATTATCAGCTTACACTTCTCATTTTCCACCATTTGCTCTGTTAAACCACAATTGCAACAATTATATTGGGGAAATAGTTTGGAGAGAACCAATCTATTACTTTAGCAGTTTGGATTATATTTTCCCTGGCCAGTGCCTATATGTTTAAATATATATTATATATATATATATATATATATAATTATAAATACAATGCTTCAATATCCTTTTAAAATTTTATGGAATGTCTTAGAGTTCTTTTTATGTCAATTGTATCCTTTTAAACTTTTGCATTGTATTTCCAGTATGGATGTTTTCTAGTCTACTTAGCAATTCATCAGGTAATATACCTTAGGTTATTTCTAGATTTTCATAATAGCAAGAAATTTTGCAATGAATATCTATTTCCCACTTTTTTTTCATAGGTATGTAAGTTTTTCTCTAGGATTGATACTAAGTAAGGTGGAAGGAAATAGAGATTTTAAAGTTTCTTATAGATAATATTTTTGCAAAACAATCTTAGAAATTTTCTCTCCTACATGTAGAATATAAAATGACCTCTTCCTTTTCTTGATCATATAGTGAATTTGGACAATTTTCTTGTATGTGCAGCCCATTTGGACACTCTTAACTGTGAGTTATTTGTTCTTATCATTTGCTCATAGTTCTATTGTGTTGCTTGCCTTTTACTTATTTATTTGAGGGAAAAGTTTAAATATTTGTCTTCGTTTTTTTTTTTTTTAGATTTATTTTTTATTTATACAATAGCTAGGGTACAGGCCAGAGGCGTGGAAGGGTGACAGGATTCACCAGAGACAGAGTGGGGAGCAGAGCAGGCAGACAGACCGAAAGCACTTCTGAGGGGAGCAGCGGGCGCTACAGGAGAGGTCTGCCACGCCATGTGGGAATCTCCCTGGCCAGCCAGGAATTGAACCCACACTGAGGAGTCTGTGGACAGCTTCACAGCGTGGCATTCAACCCACTGCGCCATCGGGGAGGCCCAAAAGTTTAAATATTTGTATTGAGATAATAATCCTTGTTTTATGGGTTGGCAAATATTTTCTCCGTGCCTGTCTCTTGCCTTCACTTGCTTATCAGAAATTGCTTGTGAGTGATTTCTTCATTACCCTGGGTTTCTTTAGCTTTCTCTGCCTACAAATGTTTCTTATATTCACATGTGGGCTTCTCTGGGCACCCCTTATTTCTTTGAAGAGCATGCTAAGGGCAAATGTTGACTTAATTGAGGCAGTGTTTTGTAGTGATATTTTAATCAGATCATTTAGCTGATGCATTTCTGGTGACATCTGCTGGTAGGTGGCTAATTGGTAATGCCTACCATTGAATGTGATGACTATGGCTTCCTTCCCTCCTCTGGAATTGCATGAGCAGTCACCCCAGCAATGTGTGGCATCCTCAAGCCCTAGCAATTCCCAACTCCGTTGCATAGCCAGCCTGACTCCCTCACTAACTGGAGACTGGGTTTTAAAATCATGTCCTATCCAAAATGGATCCTTATAGAAGAAAGTGACTATGGGCCTTGGATCCTTGGGATATCCTTTTTGGCTTTGGCAGAAAATTCTAAGTATTGAGGCTTTAAGACTATGTGGGATTCTTGCAAAGATCTTCAACTGGGACCTACTAGGTACTACCCACACCCCCAACTATTTGTTCAAATACAAAATGCAGAGTCTCAAATATGCACTGTCCAACTCCTCAAGTTGTTGATGAACACATTCTTATCATAATAGCACAAATGACACAAGTCTTTCTTCATATTTTCCCCCTCAATCCTGCTCCTCACTTCAGAGGTAACCACACATGGGTTCTATCTTTCCAGACACAGGTGCTTTTTAAACAGGTGCATATGCTATACCTATTTTTCTGTAGTTTCATTTCCCTCCACTTCTTACTTTGCATGACCTTGTATAAATGACATGCTTTTCCATGCATTAGATCTGTGTCCTGCCTTCAGAGAGATAAGTTTAGTCAGGGAATAGGCCAGTGACAAGAGTCATACAATGCAGTGAAGCAAGGGATGGTGAGGGCATACAACCTTGACCTGAGAAGTAAAACAGTGATAGCTTCCTGGAGCAAATGACATACCAGGTGACACCTGAGAGATGTATAGAAAGTGGCTGTGGTAGGCTGTAATGAGCTCCAAAATGTATCTAGGCCCCAATCTCCTTGAACCTGTGAATGTGACTTCATATTGATGGCAAAAGTGGCTTGGTGATATGATTAAGCTAAGGATCTTGAGATGGGGAGATTTTCCAGGTGGACCCAAAATCTAACCACAAGTCTTTATAGGGAGGAAGCAGAAGGGGGTTTGTGACAGAAGAAAGTTGTGTGAGCAGTAGAGCAAAAATGTTAAGTTGCTTTTAAGGAGTCAAGTAACACGAAGAATGTAGCTCTAGAAACCTGGGAGAGACAAGCGCTTCCAGAGAGAACTCGGTCCTGCCAATACCCTGGTTTCAGCCCAGTGAAACTAATTTAGGCTTCTGGCCTCCAGAACTGTAAAAAAATACATTTATGTTCCTTTAAGCCACCAAATTTGTGGTAATTTGTTAGAGTGGCCCAAAGGAAACAAATGCAGTAAACCAATAGAGAAATATATTAGGAAAAGAACAATTTTCTGAACTTTCTGGCAAGAGAGCAAATCTGTTCTTTAAGACGTGTTGAAACAAAGTGGAGGAATAAAGCAAAGAGAATCGGGACTGGAAGTCATGCAGCAGCTGGAAGGTACACTCATGAGGTCGGTTTCATATTGAAGACAGTTGGGAGCCAGAGAGGCATTTGAGCAGGGAAGAAGCAGATTTCAGTGTAGAGATCATTACGGGAACTCTGCTCATTGCTCTTAGAAGAGAGGAATTTGCTTAGATGACAACTCTTAGCTTATTTTAAACATCCTTTCCTCTCATTCAAAGCACTCTATCCTGAAAAGAACTGAATTCTCTCCTCAGACAAAAACTAGACAACCACATCCTTTTTTTTTTTTTTTTTTTTGTGGGATCCTTGCCGGTGGCCTGGGATCAAACTGGAGCTGCAGAGGCTGTGGGCAGCCTAGCAACCCAGCGTTCAACCATTGCGCCAGCAGGGGAGGCCCAACAACCACATCTTTAAGGCTGCAGGAAGATAATTTCTTCTTGGACGTCTGGGGTGGCTGTTTGAGGAACAGGAAAAGGAGGGAGCTTACCTGAGCTGGACTGCAGTCCAGAGAGGGATAGAAAGAGGAAACAGTTGAAAGCATTTTATTTCATCTAATCCAGACCAACCATATCTTGAGGCCAGCTGCTGATGGAGGGCAAGGGGGCAGAGAGGCGAGTCCCCATTCCCAAGGCCTGCAGGGTGGCAATCTATCATTGGTGTTCCGATTCCTTTTCAGGGCTAAAGTCATTAATAGAAAAAGCACTTCAGGTATCCCTTTTCTATAAGGATTGCAGTTTTTCCCCCAGCAAATTTCTCAATCTCTATCATGATTAAAGCAGACAGTTGCCAAGCCACTCGGTAGGGGAGAAAATAAAGAAAGCCTTCAGGGTTAGGTAAAGGAACAAAAATACACCAAGCAGGAAGGCTGTCCAATGTGATAGGAGATTTTCCCTTCTTCCCTTTAAGAGGGGTTGTTGACTGGCAAAGGCAGACCTGCAGGAGATGGGAGAGTTTCTGTTATGGAGGCAGTTCTCGCGAAAGGAGGTGAGAGTTAAAATGAAAGGGTAGGGCTGTTGTTGCGATGAAAGAGTCAGTGGACTTCTCATCCCTTTGAACTACTCCATCCTATCTTGACCACCATGTCTCAGGTAAGAAGACATCAAGACCAGAGCTGGATAAACATCAGCATTCTGGGTCCACTCCAGCGATACATTAGCAGTAGACAAAGATTACTCCTGCCCACTCAGGATCATGTTCCTGTTTCCACTAGTAATAACAGCACACTGAGTTTTCTTGGGGAGCACTTCTTCCAAGCCTTCGAGGTATGTGGTTTGGGTGATTGTCCTCCCCATTTCTGGGTCCCATTGTAGGCCTGAGACCAAAGCCAGGTTCATTAGTATACATGGTTACTCCAGCCTAGAGATTTGTTAAAGCATTGTCTAGTGACTTGTGGTGATCCAAATAGGACCATCCTGAATGTTTACTAAAAGGATTAGAAAAGAAGTTTGCTTCTGTTGCAATTACTGAAAGATCAGGCTGTGAATTTGAAATTGCTGGTGACCATCTTACCCCAACAAGGAAAGCCTGACTTAAAATTTAACCAAAATCCAAGAAGTGAAAATCTACATATAAAATGAATTCATCTGACTAGCTGGATAAAGCTGTGCCTGAGCCTGGATACTCCCAATAATCCTTATATTGTTTAAGCCAGTTTTAGTTGAGTTTCTATCCCCTGCAATTGAAAGAGACTATTTATACATTTATTAACACATCATGAGCTATAACTTTCATTTATTGAGTAGTTACTATGTTGCAATTTGTACTAAGCATTTTTGTTTAAAGAAGATGTATAGGGACCCTAGGACTATGTACCCCAGGGGTTCATATCTAGGATCTGTGGGCCCCTGATAGTCGCTATATACTTCAGAGAAACTTTTAGACTAATTTTTATGCAGGATTTTAAACACTGGGTTTTATTTTTTCTTGGCAAGAGGGTCTATAACTCTTAGTAGATATTCTAAGATTTGTGGCCCTAGATCCTCTTCTTTGTACCACAGACTCTTTCTCCCATCATGAAAAGATTAGATTTTAGTCCTTGTTCCTCCACCAAATGAACTTGGAAGTATGTACTCTCTGCTTCCTAATATGCAGCACAAAGGCATAAGAAACAGACCATATGATTCTCATAAAGCTTTTATTTATAAAGAAAGGGCTTCAACTCAATTTTTCCTCTGTGATAACTGCTTTGGGCTCTGGTCCTGATATTGGCTCTCACCCTAACTCTTCTGAGCCTCAGCTTCCCTCCCATAATAAATAGAGATTTAAATGCATTGCCCAATACACATTACAGGGTGATCATGAGTATAAGTTGAGAACAGGACAGCAAAGATGCTCTGAAAGTAACAGTAAGATGTGCTCACTGGTCTCCTGGCCCCACCTCCTTACTGTCGTCCTCCTTGTAAGGTATGTGCTTCTCCTGAGGTTCATGAGTCTGGAATGTCTGCCTTTTCTCCATATTCCCAGCAGCATCATTGACATCCGGACTGTCTTATGTACATGAGAGCCTGTTCATTAACTTCTTGTATATAGTTTTAATAAACACCTTAAGGAAATATTCTGAATATCACTTGCAGAGCAAAGGAACAGAAACAGGTTCACCATCTGATATAGAGGGAGATATTCTCTCGACTGGCACATTTTATTTCTCCTAACACAGGCTAAGGCCTCCAGAATGAGTTTATTCATTAATGCATTTGCTTAGTCACTCAAATGAATATTTAGGAGCTACTCTATGCTCAGCACTGTGCTGAGAGCGAAGTGGGGAGTGAGTAAAAAACAGAGACAGATTCTTAAGGAACTCACTTTGCTGTGATGGTGTAAGGACACCCAAACAAACAAATGCAACCCAAATATAGTGGGTGATCAGGAAATGTCTGGAAGGCATGGGCAGGAAGACAAAGACAAAAATGACTAAGTTTTGGGAAGTC